AACTACAACTAGATAATAATGGAATAACATGAAAAACACGAAAATAAAAGCAAAGAGAGAGACCAAGATACGTAGCTCTTGAAGAACTTAAGCTCTTGATACCAAATGATGGCAATCTCTTAGCTAGGTTGGGCCAAAACTAGAAGGGAAGCCATAGAGAGGGTGATGGGTTGATGATGTGCCGAATGATGATGGGGAAAAATGGCTAAGTGTCTCCGCCTTAGAGAGTTTTATGGTGATGGAGGTGGTGTTTATTGATGCTCTAAGAGAGGTTGAGTCAACTCTTGGAAGAAGGTGGCTAGAGGAGACCACTTGGGTTACTTTAGCCTAGAATGACCTAATAAGAGTAGTGTGGCTCAAACTCCTTCAATCCAAACTCCACCTCCTTCACCTAAACACACCTTTTCTCATTGATCCTCTAAAACGTCTCACAAACCAAACACACTTCTCACTTCCATGTTAAGATAAGATCGTCTAGAGAAACTAAACTGTCTGACAACTCGAGTTTTGAAGTTTAATAAACAACCGTTAACGAAATATCGTTTAGTGAAATATAATGTCCAAACAAAGTATATATCAAAATATCTTTACTAAACATATGTAAGATAAATAATGACATGTCAATTATAAAAGGATAAACAATATTTGATAAAACACGTCTAGTGAAACAAGTAGTAAATGTTATATATCTTATTAATTATACTACTGTGAAAAAACATAAACTTGCATTAAACGTTTATATTACGAATGTTTCTAACATATAAAAGATTAAATGCATGAACATATTAGATTTTGTCTGATGTGCTTTTTTTTTCTTTGTGTCCAAATATTGACAATACTGTTTATATATTTTTCTAATTATTATAATTTTTAGAATTTTATAATAATAATAATAAAGATTAAATATGTTTTTAGTCCCTAAACTATTGGCCGTTTCTAGTTTTCGTCCCTCTTTCAAAATAAGGTACAATTTGGTCCTCGTTTTTTTTTCGAAACTTTGGTTTTAGTCCTCGAAAACTAGCCCCGTTAAAAATTTGGTAGTTTTCGAGATTAGTTTTCGAGGACTAAAACCAAAGTTTCGAGAACTAAAACTAAAGTTTCGAAAAAAATGAGGACCAAATTGTACCTGCCAATAGTTTAGGGACTAAAAACATATTTAACCCTAATAATAATTTTATTATTTTTTATTATCATAAAAAAATAAACATATATACGTATAGATTTATTTTTTAATTGAAACTGAAAAAATTTAAAAGTAACCCAACAAATATTAAAACAAATGTTTGTATAAAATTGAAATAAATAATACTATATTTTAAAATATTCTTATTGTTTTGTTGTTAATATAAGCTGGTAATTAGGTCATTAACCTTATATGGAACACTTTATAGGAAAATTATTTTCTAATATATAAAAAAAAAGGAAAAACACGTTAGCACGCACAAACATACGTGTTCAAAGCAGTGTCAACCGCCCGCAACGCAAACCAGGTTCAGTCATATAAATACCCCAACAGGAAACAGATTCTCTTCAGTTTGGGTGCACAGAAACACTTCATTTGATTTTGTAACTTCACTTCAAACCTTTCTCTTTGAAACCCTAATTCCCAAATCTTCTTCATGGACTTCTCGAAGAAGCGCAAGACCGAAGAGAACGGCGATACTGATTCTCTGTCGTCACCACCCTCCCAAGCATTCCCCACCGCCACCGTCCCCACAACCGCCCCCCTGGCAGCGGAAGACATCCGCAAGATCTTGCGTCCGTTTTCCCAGGAACAGCTCCTCGACCTCCTCCAATCAGCGTCGCTACGCCACTCCGATGTCCTCGACGCCGTGCGCACCGTCGCGGACCGCGACTCTACTCTCCGTAAGCTTTTCGTTCGCGGACTTGCCGGCGAAACCACCAGCGAGACCCTGCGCAGCGTGTTCTCCACGTTCGGCGAACTCGACGAGGCCATCGTGATCTTCGACAAGGCCACGGGACGCTCCAAGGGCTATGGCTTCGTGGTCTTTCGCCACGTGGATGGCGCCATCCTCGCGCTGAAGGACCCAAGCAAGAAGATCGATGGTCGCATGACGGTAACGCAACTCGCCGCAGCTGGTGGACCTGGGGGCTCCGGCGACGTATCAGCGAGGAAGGTTTTCGTCGGGAACGTGCCGTTCGAGATTTCCTCGGATAAACTACTGAGCGAATTCCTCAAGTTCGGAGAGGTCGAGGAAGGGCCTCTAGGGTTTGACAAATCGAGCGGCAAATCGAGGGGCTTCGCTTTTTTCGTTTATAAGACGGAGGAAGGTGCGAGGGCTTCGTTGGTGGAACCTGTTAAGACCATTGATGGGCACCAAGTGATTTGCAAATTGGCTGTGGATAGCAAAAAGACGAAACCCTTTGGAGGGGATCAACATCAGCATCAACACACGCAGCATCAGCAGCAACAACAGCAACATCCGCAGCAACAGATGCAACAACAAGGTCCTATGATGATACCTCAGTATGGTGGATATGGTGGGAATGGCTATGGAATACAGCACTCGGTGCCACCGTATAACAATCCGGTTCAGGTTTCTGGTGGTGGTGGGTATGGCCACGGAATTGGTGGTGGATATGGTAATTCGCAGATGGGTGGACCGGTTTCCGGTGACTACGGAACTAGACTGCCTCCCAATTCTGGTGGGGGGTTCGCTGAAGGCTCCCAGTATGGCTACCCTGCTTCTTCCACGCTTCCACCACAGCAGCAAGTGCCTATGCCGAGACCTCCTCCCGGAGGAATGTACCAAGGCGTGCCACCCTATTATTGAGGTAATGTTTTTCGTTATGAAAGCATAGTAGACTGCTGATTAGTCCATACTTCTGTTCATTGGATATATAATTTATAACTGGATCTGTGTTTTAGCTGAACTTGCATTAGATTGTTGAGAAATGCAAGCACTACACCTTTGAATGCAATCTTTAATATTGACTTGGAAATTATAAAGAAAAATTTGGTCCTGGGACTTTTTATTATTGAGTTTCATGCTTAATTCTCTACTTTTCAACAGAATGTAAATGATAATAGAGTGGGCTACTAGAACTCCTCTAGGTTTTTCTTAAAAGAAATGGAGTTATTGTTTTTAAAATGCAAATGCAGGTTTTTACTTGTATGTCTGAATGACTCATTTATCTTGCAATGTGTTTCGCAAAATTGATTGCTGGTATGAATTGGGTTTAATTTCTTTTGTACACATCATACTTTTCTTTATGGTCTGTGCATGTTGAAGTTTATTTAATTGTTGATTGTAATTATCATTCGAGTGATGGTTATCTCTTTTGGGCTTTGACAGTTCGTTTTGTTATTAAATGTTAATGATTGGTTTGAGTTTTGGATAGGTGTTTCATTCAGGTTTGTGATGGCTTCTTGGACGCTAATGCTTTAAATGGTTGTGCTGCTTTCGTGCATGCAGACAATGAAATCTTTGGTTTTGGTTACATGGACCTGTAATTTGTTGCTGCTTCACTACCTCTGCATCTATGTGTTATGGTTCCATTTATGATGGGTGTTAGTTGAAGCTTACATGACTTGGCGTAGTACTTGAATGTAGTACTTATGTGGAAATTTTGTAGAATTTTTTATTTATAGTTTTTGCCTAGATTATTTCCTAATTTATTGACTAAATGCTAAGGTGGTTACATTAAATTTTGAAATTGTTCTTTATTGTGGTCTATATTCCTTGCATATATTACTCTGGTTGTCATGGTGACTTTATGTATTCTTTTAATTTCCGATAACTGCAAGTATTTATTTGCGTTGTATGGTGGCATTCGTGATACTTTTGGATAATGTTTGAAATATCCTTCCGTCATGGTTTTGTACTAAATTCAGCATCAAATTTAATGAGTAAATTAGTTGCCTCAAGTCTTTTAGAGGCTTATTTGAATTGTCTTGTTGAGATGCACAGTTGGTTTGCCCTGAAATGGATGGTTGTGAACACCTTTAAAAATTGCACGATGACATATTTGAGTATTTTTTGAAATATCCTTTCTCTTGTTTATTTTACTGAATTCAGCTTCAATTAATGACCAAAACATTTTTCTCAAGCCTTCATCCACACTGTGTTAAAGATGAGATCTGCTATCGATTTTACTTAAACTTGTAAATTGAAAAATCCCAACTGTGAGATTGACCACCATGTTTGTTGTGAAATCAGAGCTTAAACTTGATGTGGCAATTGCAATGCCGTGCTTTTGCATGTATAAAAGGTAAAAGCCTTTAATTCTAATGTTAAATTTATAATTATTACTTTTAAGCTCCATTCCACCCACCTAACCTGCTCTGAAATAAATATTAAAGGTAGAAAAGCGAAAGAATTTAACAAGATTTTTTTCTTGAGTAAACCACTAATTTGATTCTTGAAATATTACACTCTCTCGTGAGTGGTTTTTAAAGTAACACAGACTACTAAAGTAATCCTAGAAGTATTTTAAATCAAAGTAAACCCTTTAAGAAGTATACTTTAGGGATGGCTTGAAGTTTTATTACTTTCGGAATTATTTGAGAGAGTTAGAGAATTAATTGGTGATTTACTTGTATTTTATTTGTTTGTATCTATTACGTCAGGTATGCAGCTTTATAATGTTGGCTTAGGTCTTAACTGAACCTCACAATCAATTTGTAGGGCAAATATTGTCCTGGCTTTGAACTCAATTTTAGTCTTATCTTTATCTAATTTGAGCCTAAAATTATCACCCTTGCAACTAAAGAGAACTAAGGGTTACTGCAGCTAAGGTAGCTTTCTGGCACATCCCCTCTCATCCAAGGCGATTAGCTTGGAGTGTGGCAATCATTTGGCCCAACTATGGATATAGGATAGACTTCTATAACTTCTTAAGGTTTTAGGTTAGAGCCTACCCTCGTAGAACTTTTTTATAAGGTGGGGATTGTCGTAGCTCTATGTAAGCCCTATCTCTAGTGGATTTGATACTAAACACCATCCTTGATTAGGTATATTTCATTTTTTTATATTGTGTTAAAAGTAAAGTATGAAATCTTAGAATTTGGACTTAGGACCTAATTTGATCTCACAACCTCATTTAACTACCTTGAAAGGTGAGAATTGTCCAAACTCTATTCAAGCTGTATCTGTTCTTGATTTGACACTAAACACCACCTTTGAGGCTGCTGTCATGGAGAAGTTTCAACTAAGATGGGCTCTTGGTGACTGCAGTTTAGATAGATGGCTTTATAGTAGAAGATGAAGAGCATTACAGTGTAATTGTGTTGGTTGTTTGCCTGATTTTTCATTTTGCTGCTGTTGAATAGTGAAGCTTCAATTAGGATCTTGTTACTGCTCTTTCTTAAATCAGTTTACATGTTACTGCTATTTTATTACTTACTTTCTTTGCTAAATCAGGCTACTTGTTAATGCAATTTTGTTACGTAAAATGTTTTGTCTCGTCTTGCAAGTGTTTCTCATGGGAATAATAATTAACTTGCTTTGCTATAGTTTGGTGTTTATTTTATTCATTTTGATCTGTCATGATCATGCTTTTGAGCCAAATAAATTATTGTATGTTTCTTTGGGAATGTTTCTACGATGTTTTCTAATTTTGATTGCTTGTGTATCAAAACTTGTGTATGTCCATATGTGCTGCTCTTTCTAATGATTTTCGAGGTGATCCTCCTGGTCGTTTTCGATTTGAAGTAGTTCGGCCAACACCGCCTTGCTGTTATCCTTCTGAGGTTAGGACTTTTAAATGCCATTTTGGTTTCCAAATGTTCATTGAAGGAGCCTAGCTATTTTCCCATAGGGTTTTAATTACTATACAACGCTGTTGACCAATCAAAAATCACTATTGGTATAATAACTATTAGCATAGTTACTATAAAACCTATCATACATAGTGGCTTGTGATTGGAAAACAGTGTAAAAATTCTTTACATTCTCTTTTGCTTATTTAATTACATTGAAAGTGACAATTACTTTGTAATAATTTTGTAGGGAAACATTCGTCTTAGCATAAGTGTATGGGACATGGTTTAATTTAATATAAGTGCTTTTGATTTATTTTTCGAGGTTACACATGCACGTAACATTCAATTATTAATTCGTGCCCTCTTGTCTGCAATAAATAGACCAGATAATGTTATTAGTTATGTAATCTGTACTGGAGATGAAACAAAATATATTCTTTTCATGCATAATAAATGTAATGTGTCTACACAAAATCATATCCACTTTGTATTTAGACAGTGTATCCAGTTCAATGTTCTATGTTAACATGGAGATAGACCCTACTCGTTCAGTTGTGAAAATCAAATATCAGGACAACTTTTGCATGGTGCATCTTCTCGTAGAAAGCAATATCACATTTGATTGTTGTCCGTTGCAATTGTAATAAATCAGTAACGTGATACGATATCAATATCCATGCTCGACAGGTGTTAGAGATCTGTTGAGAAAAATCTGGAGGTTTTTTCTTTTTGCCTTACAATTCATTGTCATGCTAAAAGATTTTATACCATTCCTCTATGGAATAAACCTGGTCAGCGTTTGATGTATGCATCCATATCGATACGAAATATATAATGCTATTTTGGGTTTTATGTTTTGGTGTATTTTAAAATATTTTAATGAAAGACACGGGTTAAGGATGAAAAATTCATTGTTTTGCCACAGGTAAAGTAGTATTAAATAATTACGTTTGGTAGATTGAATCATGATTGGAGATCGGGTTTTAAGAGTGTAAATTATTCGAAATATTATGCCTGATTATGACTAAATATGTTTGAAGTTGTTTGTAGTTGCAAATTATCGCATTGTACTGTAATTGACCCCCAATACGTGATTGGTCCTTTACACGTTGAACAACTATGATCTAAATTTTGACTAGATTTTGTTTAAAAGGTTTCTATATAGATGTATAGTTATTTGTAGTTGTGAATAAATGTAGTACTAATACAAGTTCATCTCTTATAGCAATGACGTTGAGATAGGCTAATGTTTTTTATATATAGAATGTAAATGGGTTTTAAGTTATTTGTTGAAACGCTAGAAATGAAGTTATTTGGATACTAAATATTATAATAGAAATGTTGAAAGTGAAAATGGAAAGAGACTGATTACTATTTCTTAATCTGTGATAGTTGTGTAGAAATGTCAAATATACAGATGGATGAGTTTTCCACGTAAAATTGCTTTCGCTTAAACTGTACCATCAATGACTGTCTTCACAGGTCAATTAAGTCTCTAAGAAATTTTAAGATAGAATGAGCCTCAGTTTGGCAAACTTTTGGAGCTTGTGCTGGTAACCAGGGACTTAAGCCCATTAGAAGAATCCTCACCTGCATTAACTCTTTTAGTTATTATTTCCATATTCCTATGCAGACTTTCTCTCACTAAACTCTTCATCGTTCTCCTCCCTTCTTCTGTGTCTCTTTGATTTTTAAGTGTTACATATGCAATTCTTGAAGACTGTGGGCCTAAATGTGGCCCCATTTCTATTTGGCTTTCATCCCTGAACCATCGCAATAATTTCCGTGCTCTTTTCTGGGCCGAAGAACTCCCTAATAAAGCTACTTGAAGAAGTACAGGAACAATCCCTGACTGTACCATTTTACTTCTCTGTGTTGAATTTTTATGAGCCAGAATAATCAGAATATTAGTTGACAACTCTTGGCATTTGGGTTCATCTTCCCAAGATAAGATCTCAATCAAGCATTTTGGCACAATTGAGCTGTTCTCCAATGTTTTCTTTCCCATTGAAGTCACCCCCAAGTTCCCAAGGATGGTAAGTGCTTTCTCTGAAGTTCCTTTCTCTGAGCACAGTTCCAAGAGAATAGGTACAACCCCATTAGAAATCAAAGGCCCTGCATTCTCTAGCACGGTTGAGATGTTGCACATGGCTACCAAACACGACTCTTTTGTATCAAAGCTTGGGCACGACTTTAGAATGTCTATAAGAAATTGGAGAAAGTCTAATGAAGAATGAGGAAATTGGATGTTTCCAAGAGATGATAACGAAGAGAGCAAATCTGCAAACTCTCTTATTGATTCATCTTCAAGGTCAATTTTCTTAGGCAGTTTGCACAACAGTCCTGCTTCCACTATCAAAGCCTTGTTCCTTAAAAAAAAGAACAAACGTACAAAATTCCTGAGATCGTATCAACAAAAGAAACTAACTGCAGCTGAATTACGGTTATAGCATTAAGGACATAAACTTCAAAAAACTATCTTTTATGTATTATTTTAAGTTATAACATCAATATTAAAGAAAGTAATACATAATCTATTATAACTTCTTTTCTTACATGTCTCTTTCTGAATATAAAATGAAAACTTACGTATTAATCATAATAATAATACTTTCTACAACGAGAGTTGCCCACCGTGATCTTAAAAAACGGTGATTTTCGGAATCATATTGCTCATTAAGCTTAAAACAGTTTGGGCATTAGTAATCATATTATGTTCCCAGAATTGGCTAACTTCATGAATGACCAATCAATGTTTAAAGAACTAATTACCTTATTAATCAAGTTTTTTCTTTTTAATCTGATTTCTAATTTTGATTGGCAAGAAATCTTTAAAATCAATAGGAGTGTTTGAATCTTACTTGTGATTTCCATTGGATAGGTGGATCAATGCCTTGAGTGCTACTCGGCGGCGGCTAGCGACGTCGGAAAGCGCCATGGAAACCAACACCCTGACCACCCCAAGCTCAGTCGCCAATTCCCTCACCTTCTCATATTCTTTAGCCAACCTTTCTATCTCCTTTGCTGCCACGTCTTTCTCTTCCCAGCTTCCAAAGTGAAGCTTCTTCACACTTTTTTGTAACAGCCTCACATTCTCACACCCTTCCTTCTCACTTTTCTGCTTCTCCATTTCCTTCCCCTCCTCCTAGATATTCAACCCTTCTTTCATGACAAAACAAAGAAAAAGGAGAAACACTGCATGCAGAGGAAAATTGCCTTGCCTTTTGGCCCCATGCTACAGAAATAATTAATGATTATTAATCAAAACTGAAACTATTTAATGAATCCTTTTAAGTATTCCAAATATTTAATAGCCTGCATTTATTATCTTTAACATATTCGCACCCAGCAATTAATAAAGGAGAAAAATGATATCACGCAAAGAAATGTTTATATTCTGAATAAATAGCATTTCCCGTTAAAATGTTATAACTTTTTGTTGTATTTTACCTTCGTAAATTAAAGCACTTTTACTAGATGATGAGATAAGGAAAATGTTTCTTCAATAACGCAAATTTGACAACAATTTGACAATGACACGTGTTGATATATCATTTGATGTTTTAAATGATTTATTAAAAAATGTTAATTTTGTTTTCGAGGGTGTTTTTGGAAAGAAAAATGTTGAAACCTGTTGACACTTTTCACAAAGTGAAATTTATCTCTACGAAACTTTCTCATCAGTCTTTCGTTCTCCATTTGAAACTCTTGCTCCACCAACAAAGTGCTATTTGTCCACTGCTGGGAAAATCGTTCTTGGGTCCACCGTTCTATCTGGACGAAGTCGTGTGTGTCGGTTCGCCATTGAAGTGCTGGGAGGAAGTCTCGCTTGGGTCCACCGTTGGCGTCATTTGTCAAAAGGTTTCATTTTTTTGTCGTCGCCGTTGGTCCTTCATCGATTGGGTGCGGTGGTCACTTTGTCAATAGCGATTTTCGTCTTTTTATCCAAAGGTATTGTTTATTCGCACATTGTATCATGCTTCGTTCCTTTGGTTTTTTGGTTTGTCAATGGTTTCTTCCTTTCTTTGTACTATGTATGGTGCAATGGATGTGGTTACCCATTTTCCCCTTCCAACTTGCAAACTTTCTATGAATATTTCACTTTCCATGTCTTTAAAGTTGCTTTTAGGTTCAAGATCTTCACATGCATAGGCTAGCTCATAGACTTTCTCTTCAAATAATGTGTCATTAACGGCAAAAATCTAGAGTCTAGTTGTTCCCTTGAGTAGTTCATGACTTAACTTCTCTTCCCTCACTTTAATTTGTAAATATTATATTATCGTTGTCTTCATATTGTTTCTAAATTCCAAAATGTTCATTTTAGGAGGACTTGGCTGCATTTAGGAAGAAGTATATATTTGACTCGATCCTAGACGAGGACAACGTCCGAAGATTTCAAACGTTGCAACATTTTGGATTACTATAGCATTAGAAATGTGTTCTTGCTTTAGATTCTTATTTTATAGCAAATGAATAGACATTGTACATAATTATACTATTAAATTTTTTTACAGAATTGTACATAATTATTGCAAATGAATACAACTAAACTATTCTTGATTAATTATTCTTCATATTCATTTTCTTTGTCAGTGTTTTTGGTTGAGTGAGTTTATTCATTAACTTGTTGGGTCAAAATTGATGTGTCCCTGTACTGATGAGGAGTTGGATTGAAACAATAAGTTTACTAAATTGGTTGTTGTTGATTTCCTAGAAGTTTTGTTTTTGGAAGACAATTGTTCCCAGTTATGTGCATCTGTAATTGATTACGAGTAACATGTAATCGCTTACCAGTGAAAAATCACGAATTTGTACCGAAAGTGTAGCGCCACTCCCCTACTGTGGAAGAAGAGCTCCCCATTGAGGGGTTGGAGAATGGGTGTTACAATAATGGTCATACACCTCACCTCAATTGGAGAAAACCACCTAAATGGACATTTTTTTTGAAGAAATCAATGACCTAACCTCATTATTGGTGCAGGGAGCACACCCAATAACATTGAACTCACTCACCCATCTCAAAAAATGAAAAATTCAACAAAAATAAGAGCATGGGGAGTAGTGTTCATCTAGCTAGGGAGTACAGTTGAAGTTTTTGTACAAATTACCCTTTTTCCCCTGGTAATCGATTACAAGGGTCTTGTAATCGATTACCAGAGGAAAAAATGTAATTTGTACAAAAACTTCAGCTGTACTCCCCAACTAGATGAACACTACTCCCCAACTCTGTTTTTCTGACCTTTGCTACTTGTTTTGTTCTTAACTTTCTCCACCGAACTCCAAATGACTTGATTCTTGTTTTGTTAGAATCTAGACTCAAAGAGCTTTCAAATAGGTGTTAAGTGCATCAAAACAATTTACCCCACTCAGTTATGGACAAAATAGTTCATATAGGTGTTTAAACCAAGGTAGGTGAAGTCCATATAAGTGTTTGGCTTGTGCTAGTAGAATCACATCACACCTTAATTATACTACTATTTTACCTTGAATTATGAACATTTTATAAAGAAATAAAATAAATTAGAATAATATAAGAAACATGAGACAATAACGTGAAAGTAAACTCATTTAGGAAGCTCAGAAAAATGTTGTTTTTGGGAAATTAACTGCATCTACTAAAGTTGTCTAAAAATTATGAGTTAGTTTGAAAGATCTTTGAGTCTAAATTCCAACAAAACAAGAATCAACTCATTTGGAGTTCGGTGGAAAACTTATGAGCAAAACAACCAGCAAAGATGAGAGGTGGTAGAAATATATAAAACGTTAACTTTAAGGAATTAACTGCACCTACTCAGGTGTCCAAAAATTATAAATTAGTAGTCATTGGAAATATTTTTGAGTCTACTTTCTAATAAAAAAATAATCACATCATTTGGAGGTCTGTGGAAAAAGTTATGATTAAAATAGTAAGCAAAGGTCAAAGTTGAGAACATGGGTTATCTTATACGTATATTTTTCCCTCTTGTTGACATATCTATTATTTATTGAAAATGCCTTTTAAAATTTGTGCATTATAACAACATTAGATGACATATTTCTTAATTAATAAAATGAATTTTTTTCCTATGAGACTCCGAGAAGTGGTGTTACAACAATGGTCATGCACCTCACCTCAGTTGGAGAAAACCACCTAAATGGACATTTTTTTAAAGAAATCAATGAACTCACCTCATTATTGATGCAGGGAGCACACCCAATAACATTGAACTTACTCACCCATCTCAAAAAATGAAAAATTCAACAAAAATAGAGCATGGGAAGTAGTGTTCATCTAGCTCGGGAGTACAGTTGAAGTTTCTGTACAAATTACCCTTTTTCCTCTGGTAATCGATTATAAGACCCATGTAATCGATTACCAGAGGAAAAAGGGTCATTTGTACAGAAACTTCAACTGTACTCCCTAGCTAGATGAACTTGACTCCCTAAAGTCGTTTTTGTGTCCCTATAAGTGATTTTTTCTATTTTTTTTGCATGGATGACTCACGTTGCTCATCATTGATGGTATCAAGTGCATCAAAACACAGTTTGGCCCACTCAATTGTGGATGAAACACATGTTGCTCATCATTGATGGTGTCAAGTGTATCAAAACACAGTTTCCCCCACTCAATTGTGGAGGAAAAAACTCCTATAGGTGTTTGAACCAAGGTAGTTCAAGTTCATGACGATTTTTGCACAACTTGTAGAGCAAGAACTTATTAACTTCCGTAATCAATTTGATCGACAACCACCTTCTTAGATTACATTTCATTGTATACTATTATGTACCTTTTCATTTCAAAATTTGTTGTTTCGCGAAATGTCATTACGTTTTTTATTAATGTATGTGTTTTTTAATATTGTTATAATTTTTCATTACTCAATATCCTTCATTATTTCTTTTATATTTGTTTAGTATTGAAGTATTCCAACTTGAAGTGATCCATTAATGACCCATCCATAAAACCTTCAAAAGACAGTCATAACGAATCCAAAATATTTCTGGCGAGTGCTTAAGCCACTTCTGGGTAGCACTCTTCAACTTTCGGTACAAAAGGGGATTTTTCTAAAAACCATCCAAATTTCGTCTTCGAAATAATGGACTTGCGCTCCTCACTCAAAATTCCATTCAAAGTAGCAATACACTTCGTTTTCAATGATGACGAACAAACAACTGCAAAAAAAAATTAATATTTGTTGGTACACAACCTAAAAGCAAAAACCAGCCAAATGTCAAACAAAGGCCAAAAGCAAAAACCCAACCCCAAAATACAATACGGAAAGAGAAAAAGTTCATACCTTGTTAGAAGAACCAATTTCAACAGACAAGCCCATTGCACAAAAAAAGCTCAGAACTTCAACAAAATTGACACCGAACGAGACACTTTCAACCGACCAACCATAGAGATCGCTGAACGTATATCGTTGAAATCACGAACTCGAGAGAGAAAGAGAGATTTCGAGGCCACCGACGATGGAACTTCCTCAACGTTCAAAGAGATTGCTCAACTTCACCAAATGGAGGGAGAGAAGATCAAATAAAAAAACTGAAAACCTAAAATGGAGAGAGGAGAGAGTGTTTCGGAAGAAGGAGGAAAGTGCTAAAAGGAAGGAGGGTGGTTTCGGAATAAGCAAATGTCCAACCCTGATCCCTTTTCCAAATCAATTATTTTTGAAAGAAAATAATTTCAAAATGAACCAATATAACGCTGACATATGGCTTTGTCAAAACGTTGTTAAATTCGCATTCTCAACATATCGCGATCCATGAGATAATTATTACGTGTATAACCTTTCACGTATTTTATTATTGATTAAAAACTATAAGCTTATAAAATTATTAAATCGTTAGTTAGGTGTATCAAAACTTGCAATTTTTATAACAAATTATAAAATATGTATTTAAAAATTGTATTATGTTAAAATCCTTTTACCTTGAGAAGGTAACGAAGTAGGAGAGGAGACTGAAATATAAATTACTTAGAAAAAGAACTCAATTATTTATACAATTTGTAAGTGAGAAACAAAAAGAAAACAAAATGCAATCCAAAACCGTTTGAGAGATAAAGATGGTCCACTGAAAATGATCATAAATACGAAAAAGGTTGGATGAATGTTGAACACACACAAAATCATATTACCTAATAAGGTG